GACAAAGGTAAGCGATTAATATGACTTTTGGAGAGTAACAGGTAAACCGACGATGATGACAGCAGACCGAATGCGAGCGGCATCTTAGGTGAAACTAAGGACAACTAGGTTGAGACCGAATGTGAGTGAACCTATTAATGATGACGTGAATGAACGCTGGTAGCTCCATCCCCATCTCTTCCCACAGCATTCGCCAAGTAAAAATCGGATCACCTCATCGTCCAAGGTAATCCAGGGAGAACAGGAGCTTCCGCCATATTCGAAGAGGCAAGAGCCTTATCTCCAGGGTGGATTTCGAAGAAAACAGTTGGCGCGTTACAACCATGTTGCACTCGAACTTGGTGAGATTGCGGGTGGCGAGTAGGCCGTATTCAATAATCAGGCGTATGTGGATGGTAAAATGATGCCGAAGGTTTCCGGATTCCGTCGCAAGAAGGCTCTCTGTATGGAACAGGACAAACCGTTGGCAGCGGAAACCCTCCGTAGTACGTCTTTTGTGGTCCGTTAACCATGTGTGCCCAACTCAACGATAGCTTCCTAAGTATGGTATTCATGATTAACGTACCACTAATAACGTATGTCCCGAACGGTTCAGGTGCGCCTATGGGGAAAACAGAGAATTTTTCACGATTTTAGGCAACTGCCAATTGACTGACCCATCGTGTAGCATGTCCAAGGATGCCTACAATCCTTCAGCAGCATCGAGACAAGATACTTATATGCACAGCTTCAAGTGATCTGCTTCAACCAGACAATTCCACCGAAGCTCCGATGGGAGATTCTTAAGGAATGTATTATAGATCACTGGAATAAGTGACGACCTTTACGGAACACCGCTATTCATCAGCTCAGGAGCGGAGTAGGCTTTGTTTACCTTGACTCGCGTGTTTCGATCGTCTAAAACTCAGCGATCCGAGAAAGACTTTCGCAGCGACACCGGTACCACAGAGAATTAGATGAAACCTTTCGTGGGGAATCTTGTCAAACGCCTAGCTAAAGTTTTCAGAAACCGCATCCCGGCATTTCCCAGCATCTAACGACCTAGCCCAGTTTCCCACTGCAACCAACAGGTTCGAGGTACGTAAGCCTTCCAGCCGAAAGCCATGCTGAGCACAAGATAATATTTAGGCTCTCAACATGAAGTTAAAGAGCGTGCTTGAGAGCCCTTTCCATTAAGTGGCACACACGGGCAATAGTCAGCTAGGTCGATAGCTGGCAGGAGATTGACCAGCCCTCCTTTGTATATAGGTTTAACGGACCCTAGTTTGCAAGCCAACAGGAGGCGTCCAGCTTCCAAGGAGTGACGAAATATCTGACAGAAAGGAGCAGCAATGTTGTGGGCCACGGTCTTGGGGGATTGCGGGTGTAACCCATCGGGAGCTTGCTAGGAGTTTGGATCTAATTCAAGGAAACCTGTGGCAACGTCAACTATACTCCTTTTTACGTACTGCAACAAAGGTGGTTGGATTGACGCGGTGCCACCTGGTATTGGCTTTTCTATTGAGTAGACAAATAATTACTGCAGGGCCAGTAGACTGGATTTCGTCGAATCGTCGTCGAGTAAATTGACCTGCTTTGAGGAAAACAGGTCAAAAATGCCACGGCCAGCCTTGGTACTACTTTTCAAGTAAGACTAGAGTGCTCTCGTTGGCATCCTGGATTGCGCAACGACATAAGGTATCCTACTATGGCCGTCGCTGAAGTTTTTCAGATTACAGTCATTTCTGATCACTTTATAATCCGAATAGTCAAGCGCGCAGTGAATGAGCTTGAATCGGTCCCAGAAGCTACTTTGTCGACAGTAAGCACCTCTATGCTTGGGGTAAACTTGGATGGCCTTCGGTAAATATGCTCCTTTTGTAAGTAGGAACAACCTGCTCAAGGAACAACGTCATATTATTGTAAAAATTTTCCACACCTCCTCTGGGTTCGAGGGTTGTGGGATATTTTAGCCCACAGCGCTAGCGGTCGCTTGCAGGCGGATTGGAACGGCATACCAGAAATTTCCGCGGAAACTATCTTGACTGTGGAGAGCGTGCTGTCGAATCCAATGGAAAGAAACCATGCCGTGATCACTTCTACCAATAAGCAGAAGTGTGGTAGTCCGCGGTATATGATTGCGCCGGGGAAAGCAAAGATCGAAAATATGTGGTGTTTGTCCAACAAATATACGGATAGGCGCAGTAACATGTTGAAATAGGTCACACTCGAGAACGGTTTCTATAAAGTCAGCAAAGTAAGTATCTGAAGAAGTAGCACGATACAGCAACTCCTAGTCGACAACTGGGGTATTGAAGTCTCCCAGTAGTATACAGGCCTTTCGCCATGCATTTTAATGGAATCCAGCAGCCGAGCTCCAAAAACAATTGGAGCTCTGTAGGCAAGACGGACCATCAGGGATTTGCATACATCATGCACCCGGCACTACAGAGCTTCGAATCCACCATTACAATCACAAGCAGCTTTAACTAGACCTCCATCTTTGGCGGTCAGCCGGGCAGAAATGATACCCGGGGATCTGCAATTCCGGGTCCAGTATGTTCGAGGACAAGAAAGTCTCCTTGAAGGCCATCAGGACGATGCACTGAGGCAAAAAGTTAAATTTCTTCGTGATAGTTTTTTATACCGCGCACATTAGTAGAAATTATGCTCAATCCCTTCTTCAACTCAAAAACGTGGGTATGACAAGAAGTGGTTTCCGGCGAATGCTGGTGGCTTTCGGACTACGCGAAAAGCCACTATATTTAAATCTGCCTAACCAATGTCGCTGCGGGCTCTGAGTATGTCAACTGCTTGTTTCCGTTTTACTCGATCCTCTAGGGACCGTTCCCGCAATATGTAAACCGAGACACATTTATGACGCTCGTCGAAGTATGCGACGGGCCTCGTCATACCTATGACAGACAATTTGCAATGGACGAATCTTTGAGGAGTCCTCCTCTTTCTTGAAAAGGCGCACAGCTGAGGCAATGTTTATTCCTAGTTTCCGTACATCAAACATTAAAGGGGTAATCCGTTGAAGGAACTCCTGGTCTCCTACGGTCCTTTCAGCTGGTGTGGACCTGGTCTGCTGGGCTGACTTCACCATGGTGTGTTAAAGGTCGCGACATTGCGAAGTGTCATTTTCATAGAGCTTCGAATGCAAAGCATACATACCATCCTTAAGTAGTTTCTCCCGTTGACCGACTTTATCGAGAACCAAGTTCAACTGCGATTATGACGACTTGGATTCTAGCCTAAATCGGGCCCTGCTTGGAGGTTCAAAATTTCCTAGGTTTCCCTGCACCACTTATGCGTACGTCTAGACTTTTGGCTCTTCGCTCTGGGCAACAACCGTTGTCATCCACTTTGCTCATGTTTACGGTTCTCGGCTGTCCTTGCGAGTTGGGGTAGCTTCTCCAGAAGCACATAAGGCAAGGAGTTAGTAGCCAGCCAGCAGCGCTGTTCATCTCGGCTTGAGCAAGAGAGGCAGGCAGATTGAGAGCAGGCAGTCTGTAAAGACATCGTCTCGGTTATCGTAATGCGGCACCGATCGCAAAAAACGTTGAATCGCCGGAGAAATTCCTGCAACGCGACCTACTCCACAGCAAGCTATGTGCGTACACGCATCGCAGATGGTGCATTGCAAGGCTTTGGAGCGATACGAAACTACAGTGTGGCAAGCATTTGGACGTCGTAGCAGATCAACCATTCAACATATGAGTCCCCTCAACGACCTTGATTCGTTTTCCTTCGATCAAAATACCTCAGTGAAACCGAACACCCAACAGGTGGTCGCTATCCGCAGTTCCTAGAGTTCATAGAGTTGTAGAGAGCAGAAGGGAAGACCCGTGTCAGCTCCATCACCTCCCGTTCATTGGCTGGATGACCAGTCGATGCTAAAATGTGTTCCCCGAGGGATTGCTGCAGCTGCAGCAAAAACAGCGGAATCCAGGCATGCTCAGCATGTACTTGTCCAATCGTTCTTTAAAACATTCCTCTGTCTGGGCACTTACCACACATTCAGGAAGATTGTTCCACTCATTTACAACCCGTGTGGATAACGTGATGTCGGACCGGATATGGTTCCGCCGAGGTTTGAAAAGTTTCAAGCTGTGGCCCCGTGTTGAACAATCTGTGTTGAGCTGGAAAAACTGCAGCAACTCCTTCCCCAAATCGCCACTTAAAATGCGTCTAGTATAAATCAAATCACCACAGCGACGGCGGTAGTCCAGAGTAAATAAGTTCATGCATTGGAGACGAAGGGGATAAGGTAAAACACGTAGCATAGACACAGACTTGGATCCGCGCCTCTGGACCTTCTCAATCAATTCACATTCAAACTTCGTGAGTGGGTGTATGGCAGGCAGACCGTATTCCAGTATTGGACGAACGTGGGAGGAAAACAGGAGCCTGAAGTTCTGCGGAGTCAATTAGTAAAACGACCTTCGTATGGCACAGAGCATCCTGGTGGTAGATGCTACCTTCCGCAATATGTCCTGCGTTGTTCTTAGGTCTGGAGAAATAAGTACACCCAAGTCCTTCTCACCAAACACATTCTTCAACAGAAAACCACCGATGTGGTAAGCACCGAAAGGTTCCTGATCACCGGTCGGGAGAACACAGCACTTATCACGATTGATAGGCATTTGCCACTTGACCGACCAATCGTGCAGCAGATCGAGCGTCAGCTGCAACCTGTCAGCATCTGCAAGCCTGGATACTTCCGCAGTTGAAAAAGAGGTAAGCCATTGTTTACCACAGGCAGTTTACCGAATAGGAAGTTTGTCTAATTTGTTAAAAATACTTGCTTTAGCTGTTTTAGGTATTCTTTTTCTATGTTTGTGTGGACGCTTGCTGGAACATAATACGAATTGAGGTGGGAGCTAGCTCACACTTTAACCATCATTTGCAACCCGCAGTAATACGGTTGCATTATTGGTATTGCTTCTATACACTTGGTAACTAAGTGTTAGTCTGGTAAAAACATTATTCAACCTTAGTTGTTTACCTACTGATTCCTCGTGTTCCCTCTGCTGGTCCCATTTCCCGGTTCACCTCTCGCCCTAGCGATGGCGAAGTGCTATGATTATCTGTTTAAGTTGCTTCTAATTGGAGACTCTGGAGTCGGGAAGACTTGTTTACTTTTCCGATTTTCCGATGACGAGTTCAATTTGACTTTTATTGCAACTATAGGTAAAGTTAATTACCATCATTTACCTGCATAACTAGGAATTGATTTCAAAATTAGGACTATTGAAATTGACGGCAAAAAGATTAAATTGCAGATATGGGACACTGCTGGTCAGGAACGATTTCGTACTATTACCACAGCTTATTATCGTGGAGCAATGGTTGGCCGATATCGTCAGTTTTCTCAACCACTTCAGGGTATCATGCTTGTTTACGACGTCACGAATGCCAAGTCTTTCCAAAATATTCGACTGTGGATGCGCAACATTGATCAGGTTGAATTACCGTTTTCAAAACCAGTGTCTTTGATTATGCACCAGCCTGCAGATTATCCCGGTTGCGACCGACATTGCATTTGCTTTTCTTATTGCTTATCACCAATCTGCAGCTGATCCCTGAGTTGGATTAATTTCTGATTTGCTTCGGCCAAGCTAATTCAGATATTTAAGCGTTACGGTAATTGCTATCGCTATTGCACCGTGTCATCGAGCGCTGGAATATGCTTCCAGACAGTATTGTCTGGGATTCTACGGTCGAGGTTTGAGCGTTAACTAGACACACTTGAATGGCAGCACCAAACATTTCCTTTCCCCTGACCGTCTCCTATCTTCATACTACGGTTCTGTTTGCTGAACTTTCCCTCATTATTGTTATTACCCTTTTTCTAAATAACATTCTAGACTTGCTGTTTACTTAACGTAACTGGCACAGCAAAGACTGCTAGTGCAGGGGAGGTAAGTAGTGTCACCTCACGATGGTACAGATATCCTGGATCGGTGAAGAACAGGCAATTTTCTGCCCAGGACGTAAATGTATAGACAATCAGCCGCCTTCAGTTGGCTTGTGCCTCACACCGTCGAGGAATAAAGCCTTTATTCTTTTTGTTCTTCTTCAAATAGTCACTGCGGCAGATGCTGGAGCAGCATTGCGTATTTCGCAGGCCAAAGTGCGTTCAACTCAGTCGATCGATCCATTTTGTTCGAGATGCTTGCGCGGAAAGGTGTTCACATAAAATATGAGAACGACTTGCCTACTGTACACACGAACGTGACAGGTCGCGTCAAGGTCTACCGTGATTTGTCGGATATCTTTCCAACTACAAGTGGCGTTCGTCATTGTTGTCCGGTTTCCCCATTTTCGTTCAATACCATCGTGCTTTTCATCATGTAGTGTTTCTTTGCGGAATTTCACATTGCAGGTGTTGAAGTACTGCATGGTGCAAGACTAGTTGATCATGTATATGATATTGTCTTACTGTTCAATCAACCCTGAATCACTTCCCAAGAATGGTCCCATTATTTGGTATGCGCTTCGGACTTTCACAATGCAATGTTGATGCAGGATCACTGGCCACTTGATGACTTCTTGACCCTTGCTAGCGAGGTACGCGAAGTAGTTACTCAATTCGCTTAACTTGGTTGCCGCATCAGCAACGATGGGCACATAAGCACCGAAGTCAGTTCACGTATTACGAAAGCCAGAGCTGTATTGGTTATATTTGTGTGTTGCTCTTCCCAACACTAGCACACCACCGAACCAAAGCTGTATTCTTGAAACTGCGACATCTTTGTCGTCAGAAAGGAGTTTCCTCGGTCCTAAGTAGGTGGAAACAGCGAGGTGGCCAGTCCATGATGTGGCAGAGGCATGAAGAAATTGACTGACACTTGGCCATGACGTTTTCTTCAAACATAAACTTCATCCTGCACCGGCCGTCGCGCAGATTTTCAAGGGTCGCCTTATCTGCTGCATACAGCAGGGCGGATAAGCGAAAACATGCTTCTGCTGGCGCCTCACTTCTTTCTTTTCCACCTTTTTCTCTTACTCCCATCCCGACCCCCATTACTAACCTTCCTTCTATATTTCCCAGCTTAATTGACAGCAACCGAAGTGCTACTGGAGTAGTACCATCTGCAGCCACCATCCCACAGCACCTATCGAACGCCTATCGGCAAAAGTCCCTTATAAGGCCACGCCGTCAAGTTTCCATGGCGACATTCAACGTCCGCACTCTAAGACAAACTGGTCAGCAGGCTGCACTCGCACGCACCTTGGACACACTGGGTATTGATGTGTGTTGTGTGTCCGAAACTAGGATTAATGACCCTAACGGGGTTATTGAATTAACTGCACCCGGCTTATCCTCTCGTTATTTGTTGCACGCATCCGGAGACGCCGATGCAGCATGCATGGGTCAAGCTGATGTAGGTATCATTCTCAGCTCCAAGGCTGAGCCATCGTTGGTTGATTGGATTCCGGTGAACAGCCGTTTATGTGCAGCCCTTTTGACGACATCAGCTAAGGTGAATTCACGAAGTAAAACAAAACGCTGTCTGTTTGTGATTTCCCTTTATGCTCCCACCGACTGCAGTTTTAATGCAGTCAAGGACACTTTCTATCACGAACTGAACGCCCTACTACACATCGCTACTAGTTCAGATATTATAGTACTTGCAGGGGATATGAACGCACAAGTAGGGCGTCTGAGCTCTTCAGAAGCTCAGCTGGGTGGTAATTATGTACTTAAATCGGAACGGACTGACAACGGTGACCGTCTGCTGCAACTGTGTGCGGAGCACCAGTTGTTTCTTACTAACACTGCTTTTAGACACAGTGGGCGCCGAAGTGCCACTTGGCGTCCACATGTAGCTGGCCAGCGATGAACCCAAATTGACAACACAGCCATAAGTTACTGGTGGCGTGGTTCCATTCTGGATTGCCGCTCGTACTGGAGTACCTGTGTCGACTCTGATCATGCCTTGGTCCGCTGTCGTTTCTCCATGAACTTTACCGGAAGGCGCACAAAGCGTATCCTCCGATTGGCAACTGACAAATTGTCCCAGCCCTTGGTCAGGCAAGCCTATCATCATCATCATCATTACACGTTAGCTGGAGGTGGAAAACACCTCAGCTATTGTGCCGCAATACAAAATAAAAGAAAAGGAAAACAGTGGCACGCCCGCTGAGTCCCCAGTAACGGATGGACATCGTTACGGAGAGCTAACAGCTGGCTGCCGCAGAAAGAGAATCATATTATGCCTAACAGGTGAGATCGTGATTGGAAGGGGATACTAAACAGGAGGGGGATGGGCAAAGGAAATCACAACACAAACGCCATTGGTGCCGGCTCCTAGCCATATCAGCAAGTGTGTCCAACCAAACGTATTCACCGTCCTTAGGACCCCAGCCAGGCAGTCGGGATGCACCAACCGACGCCAACTTCGAAGTGAGGGTTTTCATTTCTCTCGACCAAGTCATCACTTGGCCTCCCCTCCTCTTCTTCCAACCGCGCCCACAACGCGCAAACAATGCACGTCGCGGGAGTCGGTGTGCCGGCATGCGCAACACGTGGCCCAACCATCGGAGCCTGGTGCGTGATATAATGGTGCTGAGCGGTTCACTCGCTCTTCCTGCACCAAATACGCGACGTCGAACACGCTCATTGCTCACCCGGTGTTCCCACTAGACATGAGCTAAGCTGCGAAGGCAGCGGTGATCGAATGTGACGAGTCTCATCATGTCAGTCGACCTGATGGGCCAGGTTTCACAACCATATAAGAGAGTAGAACGGACGGCTGCGTTGTAAACTCTGCCTTTCAGGGCGAGAGTAATGTCGCGTCTGCACCACAGGCGGCGGAGATTGGCAAAAGCACCTCGAGCTTTTGCTATACGGTTCGTAATCTCATCTTCAATCCCGCGGGTGCTAATATAGCTGCCCAGGTACTTGAATTCCTGAACGACTTCTAGCAGATCACCGCCAAGCGTTAGCGCAGGGTTGGGTCCCTGCCAAGCTTGGAGAAGTACTTTGCACTTCGATGGGGCAAAGCATAGCCCAAAACGATTGACAGCCAGTGCTAATCGGTCCAGTGCTCTTTGGTATGTTTGGAGGCTGTCACAGATTAGGACAATATCGTCCGCATACTCCAAGTCAAGAAGTCGCTCACCAGGAAGTAGCTCCACACCATCTAGGTCGTGTCCAGCGAACGCTGTTTCTATGACTTCATCAATAGCGAAGTTGAAGGGGAAAGGTGACAACGGGCATCCTTGTCTCACGCCGCTGGTGATACTGAAGGGTGGCGAGAGTTTGCCACAAACCCTCACCCTGCCCGAACTATGCGCGTACAGCGCTTTGATAATGTTTACATATTTATCATGCACACCTTTCCTCAGCAGACAATCCCAAAGGGCACATCGATCGACCGAATCGAAGGCACCTTTTATGTCAAGAAACACGACAACGGTGGGTCGCCAATAAACATGGCGGTGCTCCAACACTTGACGCAATGTGAAGATGTGGTTGATGCAGCCGCGACCTTGACGAAATCCGGCTTGCTCTTCACGAATCTGGCTTTCACGAGTGCCAGTCAGTCTGTGGAGAATGACAGAGGCAAGCAATTTAGGGGCAATCGAAATCAGACTGATCCCTCTATGATTGCCGCATTCCAAACGAGAGCCTCCCTTGAAAATTGGGACAATGACGGAGCGGTTCCAATCTGTCGGGACTGTCTCCTGCTCCCAAAGTCTTACTAGCAACTCGTGTAGATCATCTACTAGAGCAGGTCCCCCGAATTTGAAGAGGGCTGGGGGAATTCTATCTGCTCCTGAGACCTTATGCAATTTCAACAGCCGGATCTCACGTTCGACCTCTGCGCGTGAGGGCGGATCCGAGGAGACGGCCCAAGGAGAAGGGCGCTCAATGCCCGAAGAAAGCGATAACTCAGGTTTGTTAAATTGCCTTGCAAAGTGTTTGGCTCAACGCTCCAAGCGTTTTGACAAGCTGTGGATCGGCTGCCCACTCTCGTCGCGTATGGTCTCGCTAACACCAGGTCTCCTGCTGCCTGTTTCCCGTATCAGACGGAATAACTTACGATGATTACCCACGGCAGCGGCTGTTTCCATCTCAGAGGCACGATGAGACCACCAGATTTCGCGGACCTTCCTAAGGCTAGCACTTAGTTTTGCCCTGAGATTTTTGCGAGCCTCATTGTATTCGCTTCCAGCCGGAATACGTCGGCGAGTATCCATAAGTTCCATAGACTGTGTAGAGACCCAATGTCCGGTTTGGCAATTTGCTTTGCCACATGAAGACATGCCTGCGGACAGTAACGTTTGACGAATATGCGACCAGTGATCTTCAACGGTGTTTAGTGGGCGCTTACTCAGCCCAGATGTCAGCGCATCTTGGTACACATTCAGAACATCTGGCTTCGCCAGCTGGCTAGTGTCAATCCGTTCACATCGACGTTGCGGACGTCCACCGAAGCGCATCAGGAGGTCG